GAGGAACAAGTTAAAGATGATATAATAGCAAAGAACAGTTATTGCATGAGATGTTTAAGGAATGGCGATGCCATTTGCTTTAGAATGAAAGTGAAGAAGTAGTTTTAGGCAAGAAAGGAAAGTTTTTCTGGGGTTATTCTCACTTATTTCAGAACAGTCACAGTATAAATCCACACATTCCATTTTCCCATACCACCACATCATCACTCTATCAGAATTACCCACCAAATTTATTTAATTGCTTTATCACTGGGCTGACAGCTTTTCCATCTCCTCCCTCCACTAACACACTTAGGGGACTTAGGGCTCAAGTTAATGATCCTGTTAACATCCCAGCTTAATGTTTTTCATCTTTACCGGTTCCAAGGACTTACATCTCTCTTTCCTTCTGCTTTACATAAGCAAGGCTACAAAATAATCCTAATTATCACATGAAAATATTCTATTTCCAATTTTACCAATTCTGAAAACATTCTCTCTTAATTTATACAGCTGTCTTGGTCATTCATATTTCCAAAGACCTCAAAGGTAGTGAATGTTCAAGCTGGAGTTCCAAACTTTAGTGGACACAGTGTTCCACTCAGATGCCTTCAAATTCTGTTTATCATTTCTGTGCGTCCAGCACCCAGTTTCTGTGCCCTTTGCCTCTGACAGCTTGCACAGACAACTCGTTTCAGAGGACTGCTCTTGGGCTGTCAGAGCCACAGTAATGACAGCCAGAAGCCTTTGGAGTGTATGTCTCTCCAGGGTGGACCTTATCCAGTGTCTGACTGGGTGGGGGTTTGAAAGCCTAGTTCATTTGCCTCCAGGTATAATTTATACTTTAGGATTCCTCATGGAATCAGTATGAGGCCTTGACTTTGCACAGAATTGAACTTTTTCTTGGTTTTGTCCCCTTTCCTCTCACATTCTTACTTGAAATCTCATCCCAAGTTCTATTTCTAAGATACTTGATGCAAGATGCAAATCTTGTCTTTCTGCTTTAAGTCTGTTATTCTTCTCGTTCCACCCTATTGCTTCTTTCTCACCAAGATTCCTCGTACTTTCCTGGAATGTGTTCCCTCTTTACCTGAATTTTTACCCTCTTCCTTTACTTGGCTTGAGGGCAGAAGAAGAATCTTTCCTGTCCTCCTCCATAGCACTCTCCCTGAGATGATAAATTACCATCCCTAAGAATTCCCTACTTTAAAGAACGCTACAATTTCAATAAACTCTCATCGCACATCTAATCTCTGCTGGTACGGGTTGTTTTGATATAGGTTGTTTTGGGTCAGGGGGAGGGCAGAGGAGAAAAGATCCAGAAACAGTTGAGATATTACTTGGTAAACTGGAGAAGGTGTCAACATGGCAATTTCTTTAGAACGTGGGGAAATTCAGTGCCTAGTTTACAGCCCCAAATTACCCTCCAGCCATATTGCCTCCTCTTCCCTACATGTCCCTACGCTCCAGCCAATGACTTCACATTGCCTTTGCATTGCCACTGCCAATTCTTTCATCTTCTATTTCTTTATATAATATACCCACACCCCGTCTCAGAAACCTCTTTCACCTTCAAGCCTTCTCCATAAAGCCTCTACAAATCACTACCATCACTGCTACTACCCTCACTTTTACTACCTACTCCAATGATTATACGTTCTCTTTTTTCTTTAAGCCCAGTGTAATTTTACAGTGGACTTGCAGAACTTATTAATTACTTCAGTTTGAGAACTGATATGATATTGAAGCTTGAGTTAGAGCTTTCTAGTATTTTTATGCTGAAAATTAGTCTTAATTTACAATATGAGACTATTCTATCTGAAAAGTTGGAACTTGTTTAAACTGCAAGTTTAAACAGAAAACTCATTGCACACAGAGGCAACATCTTATTCATACCATAATACTTCCCATTGCCTACCGTGGCTTTTATACAGTAAGCACTACTACTTTGTCAAGATGTACTGGATTGAATGACTGAAGAGGAGATGAAGGGGCTCTGCCATGTCCTTGTTTCCAGTGCCTGGTACTCAAGAAGTGTTCACCGAACAAACTGACAAAAAGTGGAGCATCTGAGAATTTCTTTGCCTAATGAATAGTGGGTTTCATAAGAAATGAAAAAGAAAACTACAGATGGACAAGTGGCAGCAAGAGGCCTGTTAAGTTGAAATGCACGAATCTATAGTAGGCTAGGCCTGAGAGATTCTCTCAAGTGCAAATGAAGTGTTAGGTTTATTGCAAATATGAAGGGAAGACATTCTTTATCAGAAACAAACACTCATTTACTATGCACATATAGGATTACATAGCATTCAAACTGTATCTGTCCATACCATTAGAAGAATCTTTCACAATCAAGCAATTGATCAGATTTTCTCTGTTGAGGCTATAATGATTTATTGCTTGATCATCAATCATATTTTTTTAAAAGAGAATTTAAAAAGGTTGTCACATGGGCAAAGGGCATTTTATTGTCAAGTTTATGGGTGCCATGTGAGCACATTCAAAATAGTCATTTGCTTTATTCTTAGAATTAAACGGAATTGCATCACTCCACCCCGCACCACCACAGTCTAACAGGTAGTGACATGAATCTTCTGGCATGTAGTGATAGCCAGCAGGATACACAGAAGTCAGCTTCACCTCAAGACTTTGTCATAAACATCCACTCATTTTTTTCCAGCCTCATTTTTGTTAACTCTCTCTTTCACGTATAGTTCTACTCTTTAAATTCTCATTATGATTTATCCTAAAACTAAATAAATCTGTTTTCTTATATATTTGATATTTTTAGTTATCAGTTTCTGTTAATGTCTAATAGCATATATGTATTCACATGCATATATATATATACATACACACACACATACAGAGGCCTGGTGGTGCAGCGATTAAGCATTTGGCTGCTAACCAAAAGGTTGGCAGTTCAAATCCACCAGCTGTTCCTTGGAAATCCTGTGGGGCAGTTCTATTCTGTCCTATAGGGTAGCTATGAGTCGGAATCACTCAATGACAACAGGCTTGTTTTTTTGGTTATATGTATATATACATACATATGCATACACATTTATAAAACATAGCATACTGTTTGAAGTTTAGAAAGACCTAACTCTCTCACATATCAACTTGGTGACCTAGAGTAATATAATTAAAATCACTATGCCTCAGTTTCCTTATCTGTAAAATAGAAGAAATAATACTACTCAAGGTTTTATGCAAGCATTGGAAAAACACACACACACACACATAAAGTTCTCAGAAACATGCTTGGTGAATGATAATCACTAAGTACATTTTAATATTGTTACTATTCTTATTTCGTATTTCTCCTCATCCTATTCTAACAGCATTTACAACCTTGATGTTATTCATTTTGTTGTTATTTATCCTTTTATCTTATTTTAAATCTCATGTATTTGTCCGTATTTAAATTCCTAGCCGTATTTTATTGGGATTTGTATCAAAAAAAAAATTACTGACATTTATATATAGGTATGTTGTTGTTGTTGTGGTCCATTGAGTCAATCCCAAGTCATAGCAAGTCTATATGACAGAGTAAAACTGCCCCATAGGGTTTCCTAGGCTTTAATCCTTATGGGAATAGATCACCAGGTCTTTTTTCCCACGGAGCAGTTAATGGGTTCAAACCACTGACCTTTTGGTTAGCAGCCAAGTGCTCAACTTTGTGCCACCAGAGCTCCTATATATAGATATTAAAATAGATATATATACCTTTTTTTGACAGAGGAAAGCAAGCTAGGGTAGGGAGAATTTGGTTTTAACTTGATTTTTCTTTCATTTCAAACTTAATCTGCTCTAATTTTTCTTCCTTATTTATATTGTTTCTTTTAAATATATATATTTTCTTTCCATTCACTCTTCAACAAATATTTATTTATTAAGGACTTACAATGTGCCAGGTAGGTAGCAAACAAATATAAGTGCACAGAAATTAATGAAAATAATAGAAGTACTGGGGTCATATAACAGAAAGATCTAACCTATTTGCAAAGTCAGGGAAAGGTAAATAAGATTTAGCAAGGTTAGAGTAGGAAGAAGAAGATTTAAGGTAAAGAAGAGGTTGGCCAGGGCTGAGAGTGGAAGACAACAGGGGATATTTGATAAACTAACAAAAGTACAACATAGATTGATCAGGAGAGCAAAGACGCAGAAGAAGGAGTTTGAGACTGAAAAGTTACTTGTGGCCTGATTAAGAAGGATTATATCAGAGACGTTGGACTTTATACAAAGGAAATCCCTCAAAATATTTAAAGTAAGTAGATTTATTTTAAATGAAAAAAAAGTATTTTACCACAATAAAAAATAATAATAAAAATCACTCTAACCTTTAGTGAAGTTACGAGACCAATTGGGAAGTTATTGCAGGGGTATTATGGGTAAGATAATAGCAGATTAGAGTGCAAACAGTAAAGATAATGAGTAGTAGAATTATTCAGAAGAAAAAATCAGCAGAACTTGATGGCAGATGGAATTCATTTCAATTTTAGACACGTACGGTTTGGGTTACCATGAAATAGTCAAATAAAAATGTCAAGAAGGTAGGTAGACATACTTATCTGAAACACAAACAAAAAACTTGGGATAGACATGTTGATTTGACAATCATAGACACATACATAGAAACTGAAGCTTTAAAAATATTGGAGAATTAGTTTTATTCTCAAGTGGCTATTTCATTCATTCAGTAAATAATTGAGCACCTATTATATAAACAGTTTTAAGGTAGAATTTTAAATTGAGAATGTAGAATGATGTTAGTGACCACATGTGGATTTGCACACTCATTGAACTGCATAATACATGTGACTCCATTAAATATATGTTAAAATATACATGAGCAAAGTGAAAATGAACTTTTTCTTCTGTTAGGGAAGATATTTTCTGAGTTTTATTTTAGGCATTATAGCTAAAGATAAATATTAATATGAATGTCTAGATTTTTTTTTCAGAACCTAATAAACTTTACTTAAAACACAGAAGATATATGTAAATCTTAAAATTACCCTTTCTCTGGGTGCACAGTTATAGATCTTGGTTGATCCAGGCCTTGGGAAATAATTACATAACGGAAAGAGCCATTAAGTCTTGCAACTTCAATTAAGTTGAAACCATGATCTGCCCAATATATGTTACCTAGGAGAGATACAAAAATGTTTATAATACTGTTGCAAAAATGGAAACTATTTATTAGTTAAGGATAAATTTAAATTTCTGAGCATTCCCATAACTATCAAGAAATCATTTGTTTATTTCCTATAGTCTTTTTTAATGTGTTTATTTCTGAAGCAGAAAGCTGTGAATAAATTAATATGCAAATACTTCCAATCCTGATGTCACACATCTCTGGTTTAAACCACATAATGATACATTTATATGTTAAAAATAAGTTGAAACTTCTCCCAGCTGAAGAAGGGATCTATTTTAACTTTCTAATGACTTCAGGCATAAGAGAACTTCTAACATTTTTATTTACCTGCCTTGTGGATCTCTCAGGGGATTTGGGCAAAGTTAACACTACATAATCTACTTATACATAAAAACACTTGTCCAAAGGTTCAAAAGCATTAGAAAGAGTGGAGCCCCAAACCAAAGAGACTATTTACCCCTGTGGCTACAAGTAAAAAAAAAAAAATTGTTATGACTCACAAATAGAATTTTTATGAAGCAGACTGAGCCCCTAACAAAATAAGTGTAAAACAAAACAACACAAAAAAGTCATGGATTATACCAGAAATCCAGTCAATAGCTATCCCTTCCACTCTTCCCAGGCCATTGGTAATGATATCTTCTTTCCAGGTCTGATCTCTTTTAGCTCGGCTAATTTTATTGAAGCCCATGTCTGTCCAGTAGATGGTATCATTTTCTATGGATAAGACAAACAAAAATATATATATACACACACTATAAAAGGCATCAATACATATTAGGATCATATTGCATGAGTATTTTTTTTTTGTTATCATCCTTGCTGTGCTAGAGTGGAAGTATTCTTCAGGATAATTTACTAATATAAATAGTAAGAAAGATATTAAAACATGTAAGAATCGGAATTTTAGTCAAAAGACTTTAAAAGTATTTATTTGAATGATTTGTGGAAATGATGTACCACATCTTCTATTATTTTTTCATCATTTTCCTACTCATACTCATTTTAACTCAATAAATCCTTATTTCCCATTAGTTTATAACCTTGATATCAAACCAAGTGTTTTTGGACGAGAACTTTTCTCTTCATTCCTTTACCTGTGTCTGAGACCTCTAAACACAAAAATAATATTACTGAAGATAATCAACTTTACAAAGTCTCAAAGTAGAGAGAGGATAGAAAGAAACATAAGTACACTTCAAGTGTGTCAAGGGTGTTTTAAGCAAAAGGTCATTCAAAATGTATAAAGATTTAAAAATATCTTATCATTCAATTATTCCTTCTGAACTACTAGTATTCCAAATGTCAGATACAAACCCCTTAGATTATTTTTCAAACTCTCACTTTATAAATGGACTTAAAAATACCAGAGGAACTTCTCTATGCTATCATAAAACCAAAAAAATCAAACTCATTGCTACTGAGTCCATTCCAACTCGTAGTAACCCTTTAGGACAGAGTAGAATGGCCCTATGGGTTTCCAAGGCTGTAATCCTCACGGAAGCAGATGGCCACATCTTTCTGCTGCAGAGTGGTCAGTGGGTTCGAACTGTTGATCTTTTGATTAGCAGCCAAGTGCTTAACCACTGCATAACCCAGGATCCTTTATGCTATTATTCCTGTCCCCTTTCCTGTCACTGTAGAGTTGATTCTGACTCATAGTGACCCTATAGGACAGAGTAGAACTGCCCCATAGGGTTTCCAAAGAGTGGCTGGTGGATTAGAACTGCTGACCTTTTGGTTAACAGCCGAGCTCTTAACCACTGAGCCACCAGGGCTCCTATGCTACCATAGAGTCTTTAAATAACAAAGTTTTTTGAACTTTTGAATGAAAAATGTATCTAAAGACTATAAATGAAATATATTACATAAGCATGCATATGTATAAAGGTTAGCAATTATAGACCATCGCTTTTAAATACAACCACCAGAAAGACACTGGGACAAATCATTACATAATAAATTTGCCAGCAACTGAGTAAGTTTTTGTGTTGTGACCTACATGGCCATTTGAAAAACAAATGCTTTAAGACCAATATAATTTCCCTCTGGCACAGTGACAGACTACAGAAATAAGGAAAAAACAATTAGTACAATAAAGCCATTTGTCGTTAAGTTTTGGGATTGTTTGAAATGAAACAGAGTCTGAATTCTTTTACCTGTTTGGGAAAGATTCCAAACAGCCCCTGATCTCAACCACTATAAGTTGATACACAACTGTTGGAAGCAGAGCAGAAATACCATTTCTAAATATATATCCAAAAAGCTTGGATTTGTTTGATATTCACGTTGTGTAAAAGCATCAGTTAACATGTTTGTATATTGAAAGACTCAATCAACAAAAATATAGTAAAAATAATATGTCCTGTCCAATTCTCTTCCCTATATGTCAGACCCATATATCCAACTGCCTACTTTGTACCTCTAGCTGGATGTGAAAAAAAGGCAATTTTGATTTACAAACACCAAATGCTGGATTTTCCACCTGAAACATGCTTCTCTTGCAGTCTTCCCTATGGCAACCCTCCATGCCACGGTGATAGGGCAGATGGCACCATTGTTCCTTGGACTAGAAATCTCGGTATTGTTCTTGATCACTGTTTCTAATCCTCCACAGCCAATCCTTCACCAAGTTATCTCACATCTAATCTATTACCAGTATGTTTGGTTCTTACACTCTCTACTATTGATATTCTAATTCAAGCCACTAAATAAATAAATAAACAAATTGCCTTAAGATATAGGATAGCTGGGTAATGTGTAGTAAAATTACAAAATTAGAAAACAGAATGTATACTTTAAATAACAATTACAATTACCTTTCCACAGATATAGTAAAACAAATAGGATAGGTGGTAACAACTTTGAAGTTTTATCACATAGACATAATGGTAGCCATCTTTTGTTACTTATGTTAGAATTAAAGGGAAAGCCAGTTATTGTCCTAATGATATTAATCTTCTAAACAAAGGAGTGACCTTATATGACAAAAGTAAAATTTTTAAGTTGAGAAGAAAAGCTCTCCCTGGTGGTATTTAAGTTGTAAAGCGCCACTCATCTGAAGCGGCTGGATTCTGCAGGGTCTTGTCTGAAATCAGGAAGTGGGAAATACAAGTCTCTTAAAGTGTTTTCTTGGATAGGTATCTATTTTCTTTTGGTTAATTATCATTTATTGACCATTTGTTTTGAACACACTATACTAAGTGTGATGGATGTTTTGTTATCTTGAGATTCTCTGGATCCTAGAGAATTTAAAGATATGTTTCCTGGTCTAAATTTATTTGATATTTGAGAAACCGAATATATACATTAAAAAACACATACAAAATTCAATATATAAAAGTAACTATGCTTGTCTCTCCTAATAAAATAATCACCAGCACACTAGATAGGCATCACAACAGAACTTCAGGAGTCTAGAGAAGGTAACATAATTGCTCCACCATTTGTCATGAGATTTTCACAAAGCTAGTTCCTCTCTCCAGGCCTCAATATTATTTGTACATATATCCACACACATACATACATATATACACACATCCATATACATACATATAATTAAGAGAAGTTAGAGTTTAGACAACTTTCAGGGTATCTTCCAACTCTGATCTTCCAATGTTAGATTTTGGCTTTCACATCCAGTTAAAGAGAATACACTATCTAAAAATGCAGGTCAATTTTAGCTGTCATAAAAATCTTCCTCTTTCTGTGTAATTTACCTCAGTTTCCCCAGCTCTGTTGTCTGAAGCTACGTAGGAGAAAGCTTATAATTTTTCCTAAAACATGCTACATGTTGCTATTAAGATACATTTTTTTTAGCTGTAGAACTTTATATTTAGCCTATTAAATGTCAGCTTGTTAAATTTGATTATAGACCTTTACTGTTGACATTTTTTAAAAATCATGTGTTATCCAACTGTCATGCATTGAACTGTTTCTCGCTAAAATGTATGTCAACTTAGCTAGGCCTGATTCCCAGTATTGTGTGATTGTCCACCATTTTGTCATCTGATGTGATTTTCCTATATGCTGTAAATCTTACCTCTATGATGTTAATGAGGCATGATTAGAGGCAGTTATGTTAATGAGGCAGGACTCAATCTACAAGATTAGGTTGTATCTTAAATCAATCTCTTTTGATGTATAAAAGAGAGAAGCAAAGAGAGAGGCATGGGGAACGCATACCACCAACAAACAAGAGCCTGCAGAATAGTGTGTCCTTTGGACTCAGAGTCCCTGTGCTGAGATGCTCCTGGAGAGGGGAAGATTGATGACAGGGACCTTCCCCCAGAGCAGACAGAGAGAGAAAGCCTTCCACTGAAGCTGGCACCCTGAACTCAGACTTATAGCCTCTTAGACTGTGAGAGAATAAAATTCTCTTTATTAAAGCCATCTACTTGTAGTATTTCTGTTCTAGCAGCACTATGTAACTAAGACACCAATGACTACCTTTTATGATATCCACAAATTTGTTAAGTATGTTTTTATATCTTTATTCAAGCCAGTAATATATATGTTGAACGGGATTAAAGATGTTCCTTTGACTTACTACTGGAAGCCTTCTTTCAAGGCAGATTTGTTTCATTTTTCCAGTATTACCTTAATTCATATTGTATACATAGTTATGTGCATAAATCTTAAGTGTACGGCTTGATAAACATTCTTGCATGGAACACATCAACGTAGCCACCACCCAGATGAAGCCGTAGACTGCTGCCAGCATCCCAGCTGGTTCCTTTGTGTGCCCTCTTTCCTCCTCTTCCCCATGTGGCAGCCACTAATCTGACTTCTGTCATAGATGAGTTTTGCTTGTAATTGAATTTTTTATGAATGGTATCATGTAGTATAAACTGGTCTAACTTCTTTCATTCAATGTTTTAACTGCTGTATTCATTTTTGTTGCATGTGTCTTGGTTTTCTGCAGTATGAATATACCACAAATTATGTACTAATTTTGGACATTTGGATTGTGTTCAATTCCTGACTATTACAAATAACCCTGCTATGGACATATTTGTGCATTCTTGTAGTGGACATACACTGACATTTCTGTCCTGTTATGCTGGCTTATAAGATAGCTTTTGTAGGCAGTGCCAAATATTCTCTGATTGATTTTAATACAATAATAAATCATCTAAAGCAATTCCCTCTTAATACAGTATCTAGGATCTAGAGCTTCTTCAGCTACTGTTGAGCTCCACCAACCCCTTCATATCTGGCTTATTCAACCATGAAGACCTCCTAGTGCAGATGAACAGGCAAGAAATCCTGAAGATTCTCTTATTTCCAGAAACTGTTTCAACACGCTTATCTATGTTCGTCAATAGTGTTTATGTTGCCAGATAAGGGACGAATAACTGACTTCAACTAAGCAATGGTTTAGAACATGCTACATTAAACAGTGAAGTCAAGTATTACATTATTTCAGTTTCTTCCCCCATTGACTTTGCTTTTTTTTTTCCTTCATAACTGCTGAGAAGATCTGGAAGGTAAAAAAATTCTGTGATTCTGGCTTTTCTGTTAGGTATTTCATAAATATATTTGTAACAGAACTATATCTTAGAATATTTATCATATATTGCCAAGTTTTAGTCCTTTGGTTTGTCTGGGTTATGGGAAGGAAAAATAAATATAAGAAAAAACAGTCAATACCTTGGCAGAAGTAATTATGTATGACCTTTTGTCTGAGGAGATCAAAAGATTATAAACCTCCCTAG